ACCCTTGCATAACCATTGTTAAATATTTGTTAAACATTTATTCAAAGGAGAGCATGAACCTGGTGAGGAACCAGGGCAGAGAAAGGGACTCTGGCGGTACACTGACTCTTCTCTATTTTTGAGTAGTCAGCTTTGGCCCTAAACTACTCCATACTCTACTAAAGTACAGTCCTACAGGGACCCACAAGAGAATCTGTGAGCACTGAGGAGCAATGGAAGGATTTTACACTAAGGAATATCATATCAGAAAAAAAAATCAGAGAAGATTGTGAGGAGAGTTTGCTTTACCAGATTCAAACTTACTACAAAGCCACTATAATAAAAATAGCATGGTGGGGCAACTGTAATAGCATAATCAATAAAATATATTTTTTTAAAAAATAGTGTGATAATAGCCCTAGCTGGTGTGGCTCAGGGGACTGAGTGACAACCTGCTAACCAAAGGGTCACCAGTTCTATTCCCAGTTTAGGGCACATGCCTGGGTTGCAGGCCAGGTCCCCAGCAGTGGGTGCATGAAATGCAACCATGCATTGATGTTTCTCTCCCTCTCTTCCCCTCTCTAAAAATAAAAAAATAAATAAAAATCTTTAAAAGAAAAACAGTGAAAAAAATAGGGTGCTAACAGACTAGAAATTTGATCTAACATCCAGGTTTTCCAAATTCCAGCCCAAGTTCCTTCATGAAATCTTTATTCAGTTCTTCCATGGGTCCTGTAAGAGTGAACATGTGAGACTCAGTTCCTTCTTAGCTTCACTTCTGAGACAAGTCATGCAAAAAAATGCATTACTTATATCATCTGCAGTAGAACCCTCTCATTTATTTCTATGTGGTTGTGATGTTGTCAGCTGTCAAAGTAGAAGTGTGGGGTTCTGAATTCAGAACCCAGGAAAAACAGTAAATACACAGAGAACTTTTTACCAGTCTCCTATGGATTGCTCATATTTCAAATCACTGCATGTTAGTAGCTATGGGGTACTTTTTGCACTTTTAATTTTTATAGTTTTTCATTTTGTAAAAATGAAATATTCCTGTTTCCACAATCTGCCATTATTGTTTTGTCTTTCTTTGTATGTCAAGGGTGATATTTCCTAAGGGAAAACTTAATTAAACTCTGCAATAATCTTCTTGAGGAAAAGAAAAAAATCAGTTATTTAAAACACCCTGGATGAAAGATCTTATTTAAAAAAAAATCTTTGAAACAGGAAATTATCTTGTACTGAGGGAACAGAGGTGGGATGATAGAGTTTTGCTGTCAATGTTTTGCATTTCTAACAGTGAACTTGAAAGCACAGGATCTTCTGACCATTGAAGCTGAAATTATGTAGTCAGTGTTTCTCATGAAATAACATTTACCATAGAAAAGATTACATTTATACTTGGGTAAGTCTAAAAATTTTTATGCAGAAAATTCTAAAAATTTTAATGCAGAAAACTCACCAGTTCAAGGCCCACATGAGCATACAAAAAGCATTACATTGTTAACATGTCTGTATATTCGCTGATTCCTGAAATGGTGTCTCAGAAGGATTAAAATTGAGCCCCTAGTTCTAAGCACGTGGTGTTGCCTGTGTCCTGGGAGTGTGCCAGTTAGTCACAGCACCTGCACCTACTCATAGGGTCTTGTTGAGACTGCCCAGGAAGACAGAGGGAAACTGCCTTACCACTCCATCCACAAATGCAGGATTAGAAACCCTGCCTATGAGACTACTCCTGCATGGACCAACAAGAGACCCAGAGATAATAGTCTAGCCAGTTGACTGCAACTCTGGAGCAGGAAAAGCAGAGGAAATGAGAATAAAATCAAGCCCCCCACCCCAAAACAAGCCCATGCTGATCATAATGATCAGACACCTCTTTGTCAACAACTTCTTCTTGCATTAAACAACATTCAGGAATCCTGGGTATCGTGGCCTATTTGCAGTGTGCAAATGGAACATGGGCAGACGGTGCTCAGATCTGACCTAGAAATTTGAGATGTAGGTAGAGAGACATAATACCCCACTGGGAGACTCACAGGACAATTACCTTGAGTCTAGTGAGTGGAATACAACTCCTAAAGGAAACTAGGTGTTTTGAGCTAAGAAATAATGTATGTAGATGTAGGGCTTTGTGCCTATCTTTAAGTCCTCAAAAGTGCACAGGAATTAAGGTTCTCCAGAGTGTGTGAGGGCTTTGGAGACAGAGAAGCAAAAGATTGTTTTTATCAGCAAAATCCTGCATCATTAGGTTGAACCATATGAAATTTTTTGATGCTCAAATATTTTGACTCATAACAATGGCAATTTCATATGGTTTAACCTAATATGAACAAATTTTACCATACAAATGCTTTGAAAATATTCTCAGTTTATTATTGTATTGAGCTAAACTTCATCAACAGGGAAAGGACATCATTAATTCTTAGAAAGTCTTTATTGTTTATAATAATTTATTTTATATATAATATATATCACCATGCTAGTGTTGTTTTAGCAGCTCAGTTGAGATATACAAAAACTGCGCATATTCAATGCATACAAATTTATGAGTTTGGACATATGCATATACCTGTGAAACCATCACCACAGTCAAGGTAATAGACATATCTATCACCTCCAAAAGTTTCCTGTGCCTCTTTTTTTGTGATAAAAACACTTAACATAAGATCTACCCTCTTTCATTTTTAAGTGCACACTGCAGTATCATTAATAGGCAGTATGTTGTACAGCGGATTTCTAGAATTTATGCATCTTGCATAAATTATATTTACTGAATGTCAATTCCCCATTTCCCTCTCTTTCCAGCACCTGGCAACCACCATTCTTCTCTCTACTTCTATGAGTTTTACTATTTTAGATACCTCATATAAGTGGAATTATGCAGTATTTGTCCTTTTCATTTAGCATAATGTCCTCTAGGATTACATTTTTTGGATCTGAATAATATTCCATTGTATACATATACCACATTTTATTTATCCATTCACCTGTGAAAGGACATTTGAGTTTTCATATCTTTTTTATTGTATTTTTTCCATCACCATTTAGTCCCCTTATACCCCCCCGCCACAGCCACCACACTGTTGTCCATATCCATGAGTCCTTTTTCATTTTTGCTCAATCCCTCTACCCCCTGGCCTCCCCCTACCCTATCTTAGCTGTCATCCTCAAGATCCTAACTTCAGTTCTTTTGGATATATATATATATATATATATATATATATATATATATATAGTCAACAGGTATATACAGAAATGCTCAACATCACTAATTATCAGGTAAATGCAAACGAAAACCACAATGAAATATCACCTCACACCTGTTAGAATGGCTGATGTGTGTGTGTGCGTGTGTGTGCGCGCGCGTGCGCGTTTAAAAAAACAAGTATTGGTGAGAATGAGGAGGAATTAGTGATCTTGTACACTGTTGGTGGAAATGTAAAATGGTGCAGCCACTATAGAAGACAATATGGAAATTCTCAAAAAAAATTAAACACAGAATTACCATATGATCCAGCAGTCTCACTTCTAGGTACATATCTAAAAGTAGTAGTTGTTTTTAACTTGGATATTCTTGAGTAAGAATTCCAATGAAATCCAAAACCCCAAGCCCTGCTATCTGCCCTGGCTGGGTTGTTCAGTTGGTTGAAGCATCATCCCAAAATAATGTGGGTTTGATCCCTGGTCAGCACACATGCCTAGGTTTCAGGTTCAGTCCCTGGTTGGATTGTGTGCGGGAGGTAACTGATTGATGTTTCTCTCTCCCTCCCCCTTCTCTCTCTAAAATCAATAATTTATGCACACAAAAAATAACTTCCTTGGGTGAGAATTTAAAAAAGCAATAAATAAATACCATGGCATTATGATCTGTGGTCCGAGTAGACACGTAACTTGGAATTTTTAGTTTGTTTCTAGCTCAGTACCTGATTGACTAGGTTTTCTTTGGGAGTCTTTAGGTATGACTACACATCAGTTGCTCTTCTAATATTTCATAACTTCATCCTCAAAATGCATTTTAGAGACTAGCTACTTGTTTCCTTGCTCAGAATGTTCTTGGAGCTCTCCTTTTTGGAATTACCTTCAAAACCATTTTATAAGCCACTGGAGGAATGGATTATTCACTTCATCATTCATTCAATAAGTATTTGAGTCATGTACAGTTTGGGGCGCTGTATTGGGTACACAGACAGATGACATGGGCATAAAGGGCAGTCAAGGGGAAGAACGTGAACAGATACATGCATGCAAGACAGTCAGTAGGGAGCAATGAGGGGCTCAGCTTCCCTAAAGAAGAGACTATGCAAGGGAACTAAGACTGGAAAGGTGAGCTGTGGATACTAGGCCTAAGAGTTTAGAATTTGTGCTGTGAACAATAGAGAGCCATTGAAGAGTTTTGTGCTTTTAAGAGTTTTAACCTGCCAGCTAATGACAGTAGACTTTGAATTATAAATCAGCCTTGTAATTTATTTTCCCAGCTTATTATTTATTAAAACTGGTTTTACACATCTCAACTGCATGTTCACTTTAATGGACTTTGAGTAACATTTGGTTGTTTCCAAAAATTCACTCTCAAAGGAAAAAAATTGGCTTTCATTGATTGTATTCAAAGAAATACGATATGCCACGGTAACAGGAAAAAAAATTCAAGCAAAAAAAAATGTTGAGTATCTTGAGAAATTACATTGTTTGAAAACATTTGCTGCCTCAGGGAGTCTCTTTGAAATCAGCTTATAATTGGATTTGTGGATTCTGGGGGGGGGGAGGGGTGTGTGTGCACGCACACACACATATTTAAATTAATTCATAGTTACATGCATATAATTAATCTTTTAAGTTGGTATCTGCCCTGCCTTTACTGGAGTACACTGAACAATAACACTGGTATAAATAAAGAGGATGGGGATTATAACTAAAAGAATAGAGATTCTAATAGCAATGCTAAATTCTCTTCAGGTGAGGTTTTAGGGATGTGGAATGTGTTACTCTAACATTCTAATTAACTAGCTAACTTCTGATTGCAGGTGCCACTCACCTCTCCTCTGAGGAGGTACCTACGGCTGCCTTGGCATCAGGTAGGGTGAGAAACTTGCAGATGGAGTGACATTAGCTATCTGTATGGCTGCTATTACAGCTTTCCTCTTTGAAATCAGGTGTTTGACCTCTCTGTGACCTTGCCATCAGGTAGAATGCTCTCTCAGTGGAGCCCAGCAGTAATGCCTGCTTTGGAGAATTATTCAATCTCTAAAGTGATTCAGTGTAGTAAGATTGAGGTGTGATGAAATTTCCATTCTGTAGTTTAAAACTGTCTTGTAAATTCTGTCAGCTAACTATTGCAATATACTTTAGCCACTTTAAAAGTTAGTGGCTCAAAATAATAATTATTTATTGGTTATTATTCTGCAAGTTGACCATTTGGACTAGGTTCAGCTGAGTGGTTCTGCTGTTCTTAGCTGGTCGCCCTTATGCCAGTGGTCAGCTACAGGTCAGCAAGGAGCTCTGCTTTTGAAGTTGGCTGGCTGTCAGCTGGAGTAATGGTAGGGGGTAGGAGCACTGGGCTATACATCTCATCCTGCAGCAGACTAGCCCAAGCTTGTTTTCATGGTAGCTGAACAGGTTTCTAAGACTGAGTAGAAGTAGCAAGGCCTCTTGAGTCCTAGGCTCAGAAATGTGTGAATACACCATCGCCTCTGCTACATTCTGTTGCCCTAAGCAAGTCGCAAAGCCAGTCCAGATTTAGGGAGTGGGAAGGAACTTCATCGTCACCTTAAAAGTACATAAAGAAAGGGTGAAGAATTAGGGCCATTTTTACTATCATACAGACATAGATTACTCTTCTTAACAACTTTAGTTACTCCTTTAACACTTAAAAACTCAAGTGTTCTGTATGTTCAGAGTTAAAGACTGATCAGAAACAAATTAGAAAATACTAAAATTGTTCACAAGTCAGGGCCTTGATGGCAGTCATTTTGTGAAGCTGAATTTCTTTAGAACTGGGATACTCTGACACCTGAATGTGCCTCACATTTTAAGTCAGTCGTTAATTCTGGATCCTTGCTACTAAATGATGTAAAGAACATAAATGGAGGTTTAAAATGTAGTTGCAGATTCTTTTACATATTCTCATCAGGAGGTAGGGCCTATGTCTCCTTCTAGTTAAATCTGGGTGGGATTCTGACTGCTTCAACCAATACAATAGAATACGTGACTTCTGAGGCTAAATAATAAAAGGCAATGTAGCGTCTGTGTTGTTCATTAGAACATTCATGCTGGAGCCCCTGAGCTGCCATGTAAGAAGTCTGACTACCCTGAGGCCGTCTGTGTTAAAGAGGCCTCATGTGGGCACTCCAGAGATGGTCTCTGCTAAGCCAGGTCATCCCTGTCAAAGGTGCCAGATCAAAGAAGAAGCCTCCAGGTAATTCCAGCTGTTCTTCCCAGCCAAGGTCCCAGACATCTGAGAGCAAAAAAGAACCATCCCTTGTCATGCTTTACCTGAATTCCTGTCCCAAAGAATCTGTGACATGATAAAATATGGTGGTTGCTTTATGGCACTATGTTTTACAGTGGTTGGTTATACAACAGTTGATACCTGGACAGCTTAAATTAATAGGCACGGCTATATTCTAATAAAACTATGGACATTAAAATAAGAATTTTACATAATTTTACATGTGAAAAAATATTATTATTTTGATTTTTTTCAACCATTAAAAAATGTAAAAGCCATTCTTAGCTCATGGGCTGTACCAAAAACAAGCAGTGAGCTAGATTTGGCCTAGGGGCCATAGTTTGTTGACCCCTGATATAAAACATTGTATAGTACTTGTAAAATTTAAACCTAAAGCCTTCTAGTCAAGATGGCTCTACTTTAAACTTGTATCTCCTTTCTAAACAAAGTTACAATTGATAAAATTAAAAATTAGACATATCTGTGATCAAGAAAAAAATAAATCTCTCAACCACAAACATCAAATGGTAAGCAGAGATTTTTAGTCATGGGCCTCTAGGTACTGACGTGCTGGGATCTAGAGCCAGAAAAAGGTAGGGGTAGCTGGGAATTATATTTCTGTAGATAATGAGGATCAAAACACTCAGTAAATGGAGGAAATGATCCCTTGACTGTGTGAAGTCAAGGATTACCCATGAAAGAAAAAGATACTACTGCTATTCAGAATGGCAAGCTGGAGAGCAGAGGGAGGGACTTAGGGCCTGAGACAAATGTATTACTGACTTCCTGTCTAAATCTGAACTTGTCTCCCTATTGGTGGGTTGGGACTGAGAATCCTGGGAGGAAGCTGCTGTCAATAGAGGGGGTGAATGAAGAAGGAAATTAATTTTCTCCAAAGTTAGCCTACAGACAAAAATTTTAAAGTGATAACAGTTGTCCAAATTAACAACCAGCAAATAAATTTGCCCCCAATGAGAATCATTTTAGAATGACCTTAAAGCCTAAGATTTCAAACAGATAAAGGAAGAGTAACATCCATTACAAATTGTTTTTAAAAAATATAGTGTGTATATGATAGGAACTCATATTTGAATTAGAGTTTTTTGATATACAGGGTGAGCAAAAGTAGGTTTATAGTTTTAGTACAAATTAATGCAGCAATTCATAAATAATCCAAAAATAAACTTTTGCATACTCACAACTGTAAACCTACTTTTGCCCACCACTGTATATCAGTGGTTACAAAATAATTTAAGTTAGTTATGTGGTGCTATACACAGGCCACTCTGAGAACGTACTGCTGTTGGGATCATCAGGTTGTATCTGAATCAGAAAAGGGAAACTTCCTAGAAGAGTTGACATGTTTTCTAAGCCTCATAAGGTGAATTTATATGTTTTCAGAGTGAGGAAGTAAGAAGAGGGCCTCCTAGGCAGAAGGGGTGGTATGATTTTATAAATCATAGAGGTGAGATGCAACATGGGGGTGGGAACTACAGAGGTTCAACACTGTTGAGTATTAGCATAAAACTGGGCAGAGTATGGTGAAGGATAAAACTGCAGAAGTAGATGGAGCTCAATTGTAGAGGACCTTCTTGGCCTTGATTAGGACCCTAATAAAGATCTAGGAGCAAAGGGAAGCCATTGAAGTCTCTCAGCAATGAAGAGATATGGTCCAGTATGTGTTTCAGATAAGTCTCTGGCAGTTGGGTGGAGGGTAAATTTGAGCACAACAAGATCAAGAGTCCTAAGACTAATTAGGAAGCTGCTGTTTGTGGTCTCAGTTTCAGGAAATTGTTAGGTTCCAAACTAGGAAAAGGAAGGCTAAAATGCATTGGCAATATTGATTTAGAAGATAAGTTCAGATGTTTCCTTGGCAGGATTTGATGACTGAGTGGATGTTCCAGGGTGAGAAAAAGAAGAGTTAAGAGATTTTTCCAGATTTTATGATTGCATAGAAGAGAGCGCTTACTGACTAGTGGAAGGGGGGAAGAACCAGTGGAGAAGAGAAGAGAATGGTCTTGATGTTGATCATCCTCCCAAGTTAATGTATCTGGTTGGCTGGGGGTGGGGGGATGGATAGTTTTCTTTTAATTTCTCTCACCCATCCATCCCCCGCTTCACTTTCTCTGTCCCTCTATTCTAGGAGCCATAAACCTGTGTAGTGTAGTAGGGTACTTTGGGAAATACTGTCACTTATAAGATGGTTAAAGGAAGAAAAGGATATTAGGGAGCAACACAGGAAACCTAGAAAAAGTCTTTGGAAACCAGAGCAGTTGTTTGAAGAAGGATGGTGGGAGGGAGTGATTGGCATATCAAATGCAGCATACAGCTACTTAGAGATGAGGGTTTGGAAATATGCATAGACTGGTGACTTTTTCCGTAAGTCTGGTATGGTGGAAGCCAGTTGAGGAGCAACTGGGAGCAAGGGAAGATAGACTATAAACTATGTTTTGAGGAGTTTAAAAGAAAAGGGAAAGAAACAAATTAGGTATTAAATAGAGAAGAATAATGTAGGGTCAAGAGAGAGTTTGTGGATAAAGGTAGGGAGAGATTTGAACCTGTTAACAGATACAAATCTAGTATAGAGGCATAATTAGGAAGTTAAAAGGCAGGGTTTATTTTCTGTTTGTAGAAAATTATTTATGTAAACCCAAAACACTGATTCAAACACTGATGATGCACCCCTATGTTCATTGCAGCATTATTTACAATAGCCACAACGAAGCAATCCAAGTGCCCATCAACAGATGAGTCAGTAAACAAGCTGTGGTACTTACATACAATGGAAAATTACTCATCCATAAAACAAAATTTTCCATTTGCGACAGCCTGGATGGGCCTAGAGGATATTATGCTAAGTGAAATAGGGCAGTCAGAGAAAGACAAATATCATATGATTTCACTTACATGTGGAATCTAAACAATATAAATGAACAAACAAAACAGGAAAGGATTCATAGATACAGAGAACAGACTGATGGTTGCCAGAGGGGAGCAGGATTGGGGGCTCAGTGAAAAAGGTGAAGGCATTGAGAAATACAGATTTGTAGTTACAATATAGTCATAGGGATATAAAGTACAGCATAGGCCATATAGTAAATAATACTGTATTAACTATGTGTGGTGCCACTTGGGTGCTGGAAATATCAGGGGGAACACTTTATAAAGTATATGATTGTCCAACTGATATGCCATACATCTGAAACAAAACCAAAATAATATTCAGTGTAAACTGCAGTTGAAAAAATTTTAAAAACTGTACAAAAGAATTAGAGGGGAAAAATACACATCAGTGAAAAAGGAAGAGCCCTGGCTGGTGTGGCTCAGTGGACGGAGTGCCAGCCTGTGAACCAAAGGGTTACTGGTTCAATTCCCAGTCAGGGCACATGCCTGAGTTGCTGGCCAGGTCCCCACTGGTAGGGGGCGTGAGAGGCAACCACACATTGATGTTTCTCTCCCTTTCTCTCTCTCTGAAAATAAAGAAATAAAATCTTTTTTAAGAAAAGCAAGAGAAAGAAAAATAAAGATGAAGATAGCAGAAAAATTATTTTTTAAAAAGGAAGTTCTTTCTACATTTAGAGCTGTCTAAAACTTGGAATGGAATGCCTTGTTAGATAATGAGCTCCC